GATGCGCAGGTGGGTGGGGTGGCAGCCAGGATGACCAACCCCACTGCCAGCCTCTCCGGGCCGCGTGGCGTCTTCCAAGTCCTCCTTTGGGTCACAGTGGGGTCCGGGGGGCAAGGAAGCTGGCCTGACTAGGAGGGCCCCAGCTCGGCAGAGGTGGGCAGCGGAGGGCAGAAGTCATCCGCCCAAGGTCCAGATGCTAAAAGAGCCCAGGGTCAGAGGTTGGGACAGAGCATTCGGGACAGGGTGGACTCTGCCCTCTGCCCTCTGTCCTCTGCCCTCTGCCCCAACCCCACCCTGGGGGCAAAGGGCCAGAGCCTTAGAGGCTGGAGACAAGAAGGAAGGTGAGGGCTTCCCTGGTGGCGCAGTGGTTCAGAGTCCGCCTGCCGACGCAGGGGACACGGGTTCGTGCCCCGGTCTGGGAAGATCCCACATGCCGCGGAGCGGCTGGGCCCGTGAGCCATGGCCGCTGAGCCTGCGCTCTGGAGCCTGTGCTCCGCAACGGGAGAGGCCACAACAGTGAGAGGCCCGCATACAGAGGCAGGTGAGCACAGCTCTGGAAGGGCGGGGCTGCGCATGGGGAGAGGGCAGGCCCCTGAGTCACCTCCAAATAGCACTGGGGGCTGCCAGCTGGGTGGGGGTCGTCCCCTCCACCCCCGGCACCCAGGCCACGGTGCACACTCCATTGTCCCGAGGACTCACGTGGGAACTGGACGCCGCCCTCGAGACGGCTCCGGGTCACCCAGGCAGGCTTCACCGCCGGCCAGGTTCACCCTGTGCCAGGGTCAGGGTGGCCGAGAGGTCTCAGAGCCACCTTCCCGTGAATGACCCTCTTCCCACCTCTGACCGGCGCCCTGATGCCCCCTGGCTGGCAAAGCCTCCTCGGATGTCACCCCAGCCTTCCCAACAAGGGTGAGGTGAATTCACATTTGCGCACACCTGTGTCTACACCCGAGGCAGTGCTACGGATCCGGCTGTGAGCCGCTCTTCCCATCCCTTCCGAGGGACGCAGGGAGCCTCTGGTCCCCGCAGCGAAGGGCCCTGGCCTCCTGAATGACGCCGTGTGCAGGGGGGACCTGGGCAGAAGGAAAGAGCAGGGGGATGTGGAAACGTGACCTGGGAAGTCACCCCTTTGCTGCCCCTCCAAGATGCGCTGGGCAGGGAGCGGACTGGGGGGCCTGCAGAGTTGCGGGGGGAAGACAGGCTGCAGGAGGGGCCCAGAGGCCAGAGGCCCCGGGTGGAAAGTGCTGGGATCTGCAGGGAGGGCTGGGGACCAAGGCGGAGGAGCGGGCCCAGCAGGGCTGGGCCGCAGAGACCTGGACTTTGCTCCCTCACCACGGAGCCTCTGCGCCAGCCAACGTGTGTGCCCAGAGGCCCCGAGTGGCTGTGCCGTCGGAGCCCTGGTGGTGGGCGCGTGGTGGCTAGAGGGGACCGCGTGCACGCCCGAGCTGACGGACCGGCCCCCGAGCCCGCCCACTCATGTTCTGCTCCCCGTGACCGGGTCACCTGCCTACATGCCCACCACTATCGCTGACCCCCAGTAAAAGCTCTCCTTAAGAATAAGAACGAAAAAAAATAAATTAAAAAAAAAGAAAGAATAAGAACGTGTTGTTACACACCGGAGCACAGACGTGGGGCTTGATGAGTCATCACAAAGCGAGTGTGGGGTAGCGGCTGCCAGGCGCCGGGTGTCTCAGCACGCAGAGCCCGAGGGCCGTCCCCGCAGCCCCGCCTCCTGCCCGGGGCCGCCATGCCACTGTTCTGGCAACTTCTTCCCTGCGCGGGTCATCACTTCTGCTGGTGTGAGTTGTTCACATCCTTCATTCTGAGGGATCCTCCCCTGTCTCCCCAGATTTGCTGAGGAATCAGATCCTCTGACCTGTGACGCCAGGTCAGTCCAGCGGATCACAGCCTCTTCTTCCCGGAGAGTCAAGGCTGCGGACGGAGCCCAGGGGGCCGGTCAACACCCTGTCCGAGAAGGGACCCAGGCCAGGAAGCAGGGCCCTCGTCCTTGAACGGTCTCTGCTGGGGGCGCAGAGGGGTCCTGACGGTCCGTGTGTGAGGGTTTGCCTTCCGTGCACTCCTCAGGAAGGAGCCTGGGCTTGGAGCCAGCCAGCCGGATAGCCCCACCCATGCTGTCCCCACTATCCCCACCGCTTAATCCTCTCAGCCGCCTTGTCCTCACCTGTGATGAGCTGCGTGCCTGCGACATGGGACGCCCCACCAGCAGAGATGCCCCGCCCAGCGCCGTCCCTGAGAGCTCAGACTCCACCTTCGAGATGCTCTCTCCAGCCTCCCGGGAGGAAAGCCTGGGCTCCTGGGTCTCTCAGGGTCCCCCGGGAGCGCTGGGGCCGCAGAGGGGCTGGGTTGGACGGGGTGGGGCGCTGGGGCTGAGCTGGAGGCCAGCCAGGGCCAGGGACGGGGAGCGGCTCTGGGGCTGGGGGCTGCCAGGCCGCCCTTGGAAGTGCTCCATGGGGCACTAACTGGTACAAAGCCCAGGTAACGACAGGGATGCCCACCCTGGAGGGCCGCCCCTACCGGTGGAGGCCTGCGAGCTGCCACCAGCCCGTCCACACCCAGGACGGGAGCCACGGGCCCAGCCACCACCAGGCAGGTGCGGGCCCCCCGCGGGCCTGTTGTGAGGCCCCGTGGAGCTGAGCCTGGACACGTGCATGGCAGTTGTTCCCACAGTGGTCGCAGGAGGAGGTCCCCCCCCCCCCCGCCCCCCGACCTCACCAGGCAGCCGCTCACCCTTCAGGCTCCCGGCGTGCCGCCTCACCTGAATCAGGCTGCCCAGACGGGTGGGGCCCCAGACTTGATGACCTAAGGGTGTTGTCTCTGTGCGCACACATGCGCTGTGCACGCGGGTAGGCCCGGCCCACGGGCAGGAGGCGGGCGTTCCCAGGCTGTCGCCGGTGGTGCCGGGAGGGCGGCCCTGGGCCTGGAGCTCTCGCGCTGACCTCGCCCCTGCTCCCCTCCGCCCCTTCCTCCACGGAGCTCCCACCCGCCCCACCTGGGACGCACCCTCCTCTCAGGCCAGCCTACCTGGTGCGTCTCCTTGGCCTCTTTCTCTGGGCAGCAGTAGATAACCCATCCCGCTCTAAACACCTGTTCACGGCCACCCCTGCCTGTGTGCCCTCCTGAAGGGCGGGGCCCATGTCCACTCACTCTGCATACCAGGGCCCTGCCCTGGGCCTCGTCAGAGTTCAAGAAACGTTTGTTGAATGAGCAAGGGGCCCGATAGAGCTGGGGATGGGCAGGGGGTGGGCTCGGGCTGCCCGTCCTGCATCCCAAATTCCTGACAGGTTTGATGAGACGCGCACGGAGAGGACAAATGTCTGGATACCAAGGGGGAAAGGAGTGGGGTGGGAGGGACTGGGAGACTGGGACTGACACATTTACATTATTGATACTATGTATACAATAGACAACTGACGGGAACGCACCGCACAGCACAGGGAACTCTACCTAATGCACTGTGGTGACCTAAATGGGAGGGAAGTCCAAAAGGGAGGGGATATCTGTATGTGTACGGCTGAGTCATTCTGCTGTGCAGTGGAGGCTAACACAACACTGCAAAGCAACCATACTCCAATAAAAATTAATGTAAAAATTTAAAAAAGTCAGAATTCCTGATAATTATCAGAAATTCCTGAAATCACAAATTAGTCTGTACTTGTTCTATAACACTTTATTTCCATGTCTCTGATATTGATTGGTTAAAACGAGTGACTAATTTTCCTATGATAGGGTCATGTTAAAAGTTTGGGGGCTTTTTTTTTTGGCGTACGCGGGCCTCTCACTGTCGTGGCCTCTCCCATTGTGGAGCGCAGGCTCCAGACGCGCAGGCTCAGCGGCCATGGCTCACGGGCCCAGCCGCCCCGCGGCATGTGGGATCCTCCCGGACCAGGGCACAAACCCGTGTCCCCTGCGTCGGCAGGCGGACTCTCAACCACTGCGCCACCAGGGAAGCCTGGCTTTTCTGTTTTATTTTTATTCTTTTTGGCTGTGCCGCGTGGCTTGTGGGACCTTAGTTCCCCGACCAGGGATAATTCCAGGCCCTCAGCAGTGAAAGAGCCAGGGAATTCCCTTTCTGTTTTGAAAACATATAACAATAAATGCTATGATCTAGTTGATTTCTTTTATCATTCTTAAAATACTTGCACCATCTCTCAGACTCTCTGCATCGTTACGGATCTCTAAAAAGTTCCGTTTAATAAGGAATATTAGGGTTAGCCGCACTTACAAGTGTCCACAGCCCACAGCAGACACTCGAACGTTCTCGGGGAGTGCTGGGATGACGTGAAGCCTGAGCGGCCAGCGAGGTTAACACCCGACACTGACCGGGAGCCAAAGGCCTCCCAAGTACACTACTCCTCAACACATCTGGCAGGATTTGAACAGTGCGCTGGGTGTGTGTGCTGACTGGTGTGGATTTTATATGCAGGGATGACTCACCGCCAGCAGCGCCGGCCCTCTCGCCTCTTACACCATGACAGCCGCTTGGAGCAACGCCGCCCCATCTCTCCCACACGCCAACCATGGCCCTGTTTCCCAGACGAGCCGCTCCACCGTCAGCACTTCCAGCTTCCGACTGGACACCAGGGGCTTCCCCAGCTGCCGGTGTCTTTGTGTTGATTAGTAAGTTCTAACTCTGGCAGAAGAATTATAGTCGTTTTTCCTGTCGTGCCAGTTTCTCGACTGCTTTCTCTTGGGATTCAGAATTACATATGTATTTCTTGAGAACTGCCTGGAAGGAAGTTCTTCAATCAGGTTTAGCCACTAGCCGGCCAGGTTCAAGTTGATGAACAGGTCGCCGGGGCCAGCACCGCGTGGGTGGGCAGCTGGGGCACAGCCGAGTGGCCACAGGGGCTGGGGGGGCCTTCACCTGGGTCCCTGCTGGCCCAGGGACCAACAGTTCTCCTGTCGGGTTAATCAAACAAGTGGGCACTGAGACATCTGTTTGGCACAGGGAGAAAAGAGAGGTTCTATTTAGGTTTAACTTTTAAAAATATATTAAAAACGTAGGCTTTATTGATATTTCACAAATAGATCGACTTTAAAAAAAACAAATTGGCTACTCATTAGCACGTTAGCTCTTAACTGGGGACAACGCCTTAGCTTGGGTTTGAAGCTGTCAGCAAGGAACGCCCGTCTGCTCCGAGCCTGCTGGGGCTTCACCAGCGTAGACTTTACAGACGCGCGTCATGGCGCGCACACCCCTTTTATCCATCGGGGTGTCAGACCCTGCAGGTTTGACCACTGGCCAGACCAGGAGCGGCAGAACACTGCCGCCAGACCCGGGACGAGCCACGCCCGTCGCCGAGGGGCTTTGAGAGCGCAGGGGCAGGGGGGATGCCGCCGGGTCCACCAGGGACCTCAGGCCCACGAGGCCCTGCCCGGCCTGGGACTGGGGCCTCGGTGCCCTGCAGGCTGGTTTTGGCCAGGACTCGTGGGGTGTCCCTGGCTTTGGGGCCACCAACCGGTCCTGCTGAGGCAGCGGGCTCAGGCAGGGCCGACCAAGAGAAAATAAAGCGCTCACTAAAGACCCAGCTTCCCACAGAAGCTGTGAAAAGTGGATGTAATTTCCCTGAGACACACTCTCAGAGGCTCTGCTCTACAGGCTGCCCAGGGACAGGGACGTCCCGGGGCTGGTCCTTCCTCCGGGCGTCCCTGAGCTCCCCTGCCCCTCCTGCTGTCCTGGCAGCCGGGCCATCTGGAGCCTTCGGGGGACCACACTGCCCTTGTTTTTGTTAAGGGCCTTCTTAGGAGAAAGTGCTTTTTGTTTGCTGAGACTTCTCCCCTGGACACGCCCGCGTTTTAGAACAAAAGGACAGCGCTTAACCCAGGTGACCAGACCTGGCACAGGCCAGAGGCTTCACCCTCCTGCAGGCTCACGGGGCACCAGGGCGGCACCAGCTGACCTTTGTGCCCAACAAGTCCTTCTGTGTCACCAAGGCTGGCGCTGTTCAAGCACCGTAAAAAGACGGCCGGTCGGAAGCAAAGGCAGCCAGTGTCCCCGTTCACAAAATGGGCAGAAACCCGAGACCCACGCGGGACTTGGCCCCTGACAGAAGGAGCCGGGAGGACTAAGCAGTAAACTGAAGTGAACTGGAGGTTTCTGTTAGGCAGTCACCTGGAGGGGACATTTGGGAGGCTGGCCGGCTGGGCGGTCAGGACTGGTCCCCCGCGCCGCCCCCCGGGCTCACTCAGACTCACAGAGACCATGATGTCCCAGGTCACAGAGCGGCCCTGGACGAAGTGGGGGGAAGCAGGCCTTGCTGCCGGCACCCCGGGGAGCGGCCCGGAGCAGGGCAGGAATCCTGAGAAGCCCGTCCGCCCTGCCTGCGGCCGCCTCTTCTCCCCACCTGCAGGCCTCTCTCTGGGAACCTGGGGCCTCGGGGCCGGGCCCCTCCCAGCCCCGCTCTCTGGGAAAGGATGGTCCCTCGGCCCTGAATGGTGCCTCTGTCTCGCCAGACGGCAGACTCATCTCATTGGCACAGATGCGTAGCCAGCCGCAGCCTCGGGCCTAGCAAGCCAGCCTCACCAGAGGGTTTCCTCCAGGGGCGCCCGGGGGATGCTTCTCCCCCAGAGAAAGTGTGCGGGGGTGGCCGCCTGGGCCGGGGTGGGGAGGGCTCAGGGGCTGGAGCCCTCCTGCCTGTGGGTGGCGGCAGAGCCCGGAGGAGCCTAAGAGAGGGACGGGAGTCAGGCAGGACGTCGGGCAGGGGCCAGAGAGCCATGGGCGCATCGCCCGGAAGAACAGGGCCGCCTGAAAGGGCTTCTGTCCCCAGCCATCGCCCCATCTGTGGGCCCCATGCCCGCCACCCTCCCCATTAGTCCTGTCGAGCAAGGCCTCAAAGGCTGCCGGTGAAAATGGCAACGTGTTCCCAGAACCAAGGTGAGTGCCCAGGGCCCAGTCGGTTACCTGGGGTGCCTGTGGCCAGGAGGGCGTCGCCTGGGTGCCCCAGGGAAAGTTCGGGAGAAAGGCCAGGCCTCCTGGCCTCCGAGCCTCCCAGTGAGGGAGGGGCCCCTGCAGCACGTCCGCCCTGGGATGCAGATGCTGAGGGGAGCGGTGGGTGTAACTGCAAAGCCCTCAGAGCAGCTGAGCGACAGATAAGAGTCACTCGTTGTTTCATCATCCCTTGCAGTGAGCCTCACCCCTGTGTGGGGCCCAGGAATGGGAATTCTGAGTTGAATTCTGCAGTGTCTGGGAGGGGGGCCTCTGACCCAGCACCAGGTGGGCGTACAGGGGGTAAAGGAGAAGGGGAGCCAGCAGGCCCCCACCTTGGGTCGCGAGAGCCACGTGGGAAAGAGTCTGAACAATAATTCCCAAGTTATTCAGCCTCAGCAAGGGAGGAAATCCTGACACCTGCTGCAACGTAGATGAATGATAAGGACGAGAAGCTCACGGAGAGAAGCCAGATGCAGAAGGGAAAATATTGTTTGGCTCCACTTACATGCGGCCCTAGAGTCGTCAGAAAGCAGATGGTGGGGGCACAAGGGCTGGGGAGGAGGACGGACAGTCGTGTTTAATGGGGACAGAGTTTCGATTTGGGAAGATGAGAAAATTCTGGAAATTCTGGAGATGATGACGGTTGCACAACAATGTGAATATGCTTAATGCTCCTGAGCTGTGCACTTAAACCTGGTTACAGTGGTAAATTTGTAATGAGTATCTTACTGCAATTAGAAAAAGAAGAAAAGAAAAAATCCAAAAGTAAAGATAAAAAACATATCTGCAGGGGCTTCCCTGGTGGTGCAGTGGTTGAGAGTCCGCCTGCCGATGCAGGGGACACGGGTTCGTGCCCCGGTCCGGGAAGATCCCATATGCCCCGGAGTGGCTGGGCCCGTGAGCCATGGCCGCTGAGCCTGCGCATCCGGAGCCTGTGCTCCGCAACGGGAGAGGCCACACAGTGAGAGGCCCGTGTACCGCAAACAAACAAACAAACAAACAAAACAACAACAACAACAAAAAACATATCTGCAGGCAAGGGCAGATGAGAACAAACATGGGGGTCGGAAGTAGGGGGTCAGGAAATGGCACTTTGAGAGCCTGCTGTGAGCAGGTCTGGGCCCCGTGCCAGCCTGCCTTCCAGGAGGGGCAGTGGTTCTCCCATGGCAGGTGCTGGCTGGGCTGCCTGAGGTCAGTGGCCCTGATAGATAAGGGAAAGGACAGTGATTGCCTTTGGGGTGGAGGACTCATTCGTGCTGTTTGAGTATTTACTTTGGGCTTATGTTAATGTCACAATTTAAAGCATTATTTTTAAATGTGACATTTAAAAAAATTTAATATTAGTTATTAAATAATATTTATATTATTAACTAATATTAAAGGTTAAGATGCTGGGACTTCCCTGGTGGTCCATTGGTTGAAACTTCGCCTTTCAATTCCGGGGGCACAGGTTTGATCACTGGTCAGGGAGCTAAGATACCACGTGCCATGCAGCCAAACAAAAGCAAAAATATAAAACAGAAGCAATATTGTAACAAATTCAATAGAGACTTTAAAAATGGTCCAGGGGCTGCCCTGGTGGCGCAGTGGTTAAGAATCCGCCTGCCAATGCAGGGGACACGGGTTCAGTCCCTGGTCCAGGAAGATCCCACATGCTGAGGAACAACTAAGCCCGTGTGCCACAACTACTGAGCCTGTGTGCCACAACTACTGAAGCCCGAGTGCTCTAGGGTCCGTGAACCACAACTACCGAGACTGCCTGCTGCAACTACTGAAGCCCGCGTGCCTAGAGCCCATGCTCTACAGCAAGAGAAGCCACTGCAGGAGAAGCCTGCACACTGCAACAAAGAGTAGCCCCTGCTCGCTGCAACTAGAGAAAGCCCACGTGCAGCAACGAAGACCCAACACAGCCAAAAAAAAAAAAAGGGTCCACATGAAAAAAAAAAAAAGGGTCAAGATGCGCCATTGCCGCAGGTCAAACATCTTCTTTGTCCCCAAACCTTCAATGAAGGGCGATGTGATTCACTGTGAGCAAGCATGCGTGTGGAGTGAGTGTGTGTGTGTAGGAATGGGAGTGTGTACATGTGTGTGCAAGTGTGCATGTGTGTACCTGTGGTCCTGCAGCACCACTGGCCCAGGCCTGGCCTGGAGGAAAATCGTCCACGGGGCACGGGGGGGTCTCACGCCTGTGAGAGGGGCTCGCTTCCCCTTGCCCGTGGCACTTGGGCCCAGAGCCCCGACCTTCCACGTCCGCACTGCAGAGAGATGGGCCTCGGCCAGGCCCACAGGAGGACTGGCAGGAAGGGCTGCAAGGCCTTGGGTCAAGGCAGCGGAGCACCGCCTGCAGCCCCGGCACAGGTGAGTGCTGAGTAAGGCTGGCTGGGACCTGCGGGCTCAACCCTGGGTGGGGGACGGCAGGGCGGGGCTGCCAGGCGGCTAACTCCAGGTCAAGCCCTAGAAAGCTCCGGGCCTGCGCTGGACTGTGGCCCAGGTCCCCGTGGGTGAGGGGGCAGCCTGTCCACGGGGTGTGGCTGGGCCTGCCATCAGCAGGTGAAACCCAAGGTGTGCAGTCTCCTGGAGGCCCACAGAGGCCCACAGGGTCTTATCAGGACCCTGCCCTGCACCTGCTTCAAGCTGTGTGCCCCCCCGCCCCCCCCCCCCCCCCCCCCCCCCCGCCCCACCGGCCCCCCCCCCCCCCCCCCCCCGCCCAGGAGCCCTGACCCGGGCACAGTGGGCCCTGACCTCCACCTGAGCACAGGAACCTTCTGGAAATGTTCTGATCCATGGTGGAGCTGGGGCCCAGATGAGCGCACTGTTACCTGGGCTCTGAGGGCAGGAAAGCCCTTCCCACAAGAGGGACGTTCGTCCCCACTGCCCCGGGGGCACCGTATATCCAGGGTCACAGAAATAACACGAGTCCCTTTCACGAGGGGTGTTTTGTCCTGCTCCAGGGGCCCTTCTGTTAGGACTCACCTCTCCAGGTCTGAAGACATTTAGGCCAAAAGGCAAAAATGTCCAAGTTGCAAAGACGAGTCATTGATCACAACGTGAGCATCCCATTCAGTCATCAGCCTAAAAGTTGTCTCCCTGGTTTGTAGCCCAGTCGCTGCGTGGTGACAGCCTCCCGCCATCTCCCGGCCACACATTCAAGTGTTTGTTCATCATTTATCCATGCAATGGCCTCCTCTTGGGCACCTGCTGTGTGCTGCCCTGTACCGGCTGCACCACACGGGTCACGCAAAGCCCCTGACCTCACGCAAGGACAGCGCAGTGGGAAAGGCAGACCCCGCGCTCGTGGTTCCACCAACAGGCTTTTAATTAGAGCTCTGGAAGGTGCCACGAAGGAAACCGATGGTCTCAGCTTGTAAGGATGGACCTAACTGTACTGGACCGAACTTGAGTCTGCTCGCCTGACACAGCAAAGCCAGTCTTCTGACACCGGGTTGTGGTGAAGGGAAGCGCAGCGTTTATTGTAGGTGCCAAGCACAGAGCACAGGCCGCTCGCGCTCAAGAGACCCAAACTCCCCAGTGGCTTCCGGGAAGGGGCTTTAGAGGCGACGCTTTTGGGGAGGGCTGCAGGCCGTGCACTTTCTTCTGATTGGTTGGTGGTGAGGTGACAGGGTGGCGGTTCAGGAATCTCAGTCATCAGCCTCTGGGGGCTATAGTGCTTGTGGTCAGCAGTGGCCAGCACCACCCTTCACCTGTTTCTGCAGATCAGCTCAAGGACATGCCTCAGGTTGTTATGCGTATTCCTTGAGGAGGAGCGAGGACTGTGTTGTCACTGAATTATTACCATTACTTCCTTGCTTCACTGCTTCACCTGTGAATCTGCATTCCCTCACTTCTGTAACTAGTGACTGCTTGAATCTGCTCTTTGGAACTCAGGGAAGGCCTAGGAGACTGAAGCCTTTTTCTACAAGCAAGAAACGGGGCATCACGGAGGGGCTTTTGTACCCGGGAGAGCCTCACGGGATCCTGCTCAGTTTCAATCCCCCTTTTCTTTTTTAAATTTATTTATTTTTATGTTTTGGCTGCATTGGGTCTCTGTTGCTGTGCGTGGGCTTTTCTCTAGTTGCGGCGAGCAGGGGCTACTCTTCGTTGCGGTGCTCGGGCTTCTCATTGGGTGGCTTCTCTTGTTGCAGAGCACAGGCTCTAGGCACACGGGCTTCAGTAGTTGTGGCATGTGGGCTTCAGTAGTTGTGGCTCGTGGGCTCTAGAGTGCAGGCTCAGTAGTTGTGGCGCACGGGCTTAGTTGCTCCGCGGCATGTGGGATCTTCCTGGACCAGGGCTCAAACCCGTGTCCCCTGCATTGGCAGGTGGATTCTTAACCACTGCGCCGCCAGGGAAGCCCCACTTTTCTTTTTTTGTTTGTTTGTTTTTTTGGCTGTGCCACGCAGCATGTGAGATCTTACTTCCCTGACCAGGGACTGAACCCATGCCCCCACCTTAGAAGCAAGGAGTCTTAACCACTGGCCTGTCAGGAAAGCCCAATCCCCCTTTTCTTTGATATTCCTCAATCCTGAGGGGAACAGGGACAGGAATGAGGTTTTGGAGAGGATGATTATAAATCCAGCAGAGGAACTCGGTTTGAGGGGGACCTGGCTTCATAGCCTGTAGAAGTGCTAATAATTTGGACTGAACTGTGAGAAATGAGGACCTGGCCAGGCAGCGGAGGAGGGCTCCAGGCAGAGGGAGCAGCCTCGCAGAGGAGGGAGCGAAGGCAGGAAGACGGAGCTCCAGACCTCAGGAGAGCGCAGGTGGGGGCCAGCCGGCAGGGCAGAGTCCGGGGCATCCCGTCCCCGACTGGGGGGCCCCTCCCTCCCAGGGCCCCGTCTCTGTGCTGGGGGGAGCCGCTCCTGTGCGTCACACAGGGAGGCCCCTGACCTGCCCCAGCAAGCCATCCGTGGGGCCTGCAGCGGCCTCTCACTTACCTCATCTCTCTCGATCCCCAAAGGCTCCCTCTAGGCTGCCACGTCTCACGGTTGCACACACAGCCCCTGTCACAGCCAGCAGGTCCCAAGTCCTTGGCGAAAACGTCTGTGGACTGAACGGAGGCGAGGTGGGCTCCGGTTTCACAGACGAGCGCGAGATGTGGGGAGTCAAGGGGGCATCAAGGGGGTTGAGGGGCGCGCGTCTCCAATGGGGCCGGCCCAGGGCCGTGACCTCACGGCCCCCCTCCTCTAGCCCCTTTCACCTGAGCCTCCTGACTCGGGTGCACAAGAGGGGCTGCAATTCCCTTTCGGTTCTCATTGATCAAGGTGGCCATCAATGACCCAATCTGAGGGCATTATTTCTCCGTCTCCCCATTGGCAAGCTTGGAATTCCCCAGAGGTGCCAGATGATGTTTCTGTGAGGCCAAAAAGCAAAAACATCTTCCAGCAGCAGAAACCCCCAAGGCTCTGACTGGTGAGAATAGCTCTCCCACAGTAATTGTCCCTGGGCCGGATGTCCTTCTCCCAGGTCAGGCACCCACTTAGGAGAGGAACTCCTTTCTTATGTAATGTGTGGGTTGTCCTAAAGTGTCACGGTTTCCTGTTGACACCCTTGCGTCACCTCTTGACAAACAAAGGCCACGTGGGTCTGCCCTATGTCAAGTCTGGGGCCCCTGGCCCCATAGCAAAGTGTTCAGTCATCCTGCTAAGGCATTGACGGGGTAACATATTGTTAAAGAGAAAACCAGGCCCCAGAGAGCGTCACCTGTGCTCAAGCCCAGGGCACCTGACCTAACAGCAGGCTCGACCTCCCCAGGAATGTGATCTTAATCCACCAGTCTGGAATTTCTTTAGCACCAATGAGGTCATCTGTCCCAGGGGCCTCTCCATCCCCCGAGGAAGAAGTGTGATAGAGCCTCCACCTTCCTCCAAAGATGACGCCTGGCCTGAAACTAACCTGCTCTTCTTTCACTCACAACTCCTTGCCCCACCCTCCTGCCTAAGAAAACCTTTCGTTTTGTATGCGCCCCCCTCGGAGGCCCTGCTGTTTATCGGCGGCGGTGCTGCCCATCTGTGAATCGCTTCACGAAGCCAGTTAGGAATCTTCAAATTTACTGGGCTGAATTTGGTTTTGTTAACAATATTTACCTTTGAAATTGAACACAACGGTCATGGCTCGTCCATATTCTGAGTATGGGAAGCGCGTTTGACATCAAAACCTGACTGGGACCCCTCAAGTGGCAGCAATTATAATTTGGTTATTTACTGTAGGAGAGAAGTTCAGGAGCACTCACAATGAGTCTTATTTCACTAATCAGAGCCGCATACACGTTTCGTCTCGAACGATTCTAGGAGCCGTACTTTTCACCTACGTCCGAGTTTGCTGTGTGCACGATGTCCCGGGGCTGCGGTCCCCCAGGAGGAGCCCCTGACCTGGGAGGTGCAGCTTCAGGAAGGAAAACCGGCCACCTTTACCAGATATCGGTTGTTGGGGGTTGAATTGTGTCCCCGCAGAAAGAGATGTTGAAGCCCCAGGACTTGTGAATGGGGCCTTATTTGGAAATAAGGTCTTTGCAGAAGCAGGAGAAACTCTGAGAACAGAGAAGAAATTTACCCTTTTGTGGGGAAATTTACATTTATAAGGGAAATCTCCATTTCTAACACATCTCCCCCTCTGTACCCGGAAAAGGAGGACGATTCTAAATCACAGAACTGCTTAACCTTGGAGAAGGCAGCAGACTGAAATCTGCATAACAACCTTACCCTTGTTTACTGTGCTTTTCCTTGTAACCTCCCTTAACTGGCTCCCCTCCCCCCTTCCCCCTCCCCCAACATCTTTGTCTTTATGTAAAGATGGTGTTTAAAATGATGGCTTGGATACCTCCTGGAGTTTACTAAATTTTCCTGGTGTCTCCCATGTATACCTGCGGTATACATGTTAATAAACTTGCATTTGTTTTTCTCCTGTATCTGTCTTTTATTATAGGGAGTCTTAGCTAAGAACTCAAAAGCAAAGAGGGAAAAAGATGTACATGTTCACACACACACACACACACACGAATACGATTTTACAAAAATGGGATCACTATATCAATAATGCATCTTGGATACATTTGATGTTAATAAGTATAATTACATTATTATTTTTATGGCCTGCAGAGTATTCCTGATAAGGAGGAACTGATTACCTGCAAAGTTGTGATCAATAACCTTGCATGTACTTTTTTCTTTCATTCTCTGTTCTTGCATTTATTGCCTCAGGGCAAATTTTTACAAATGTTATTCTTTGATCACAGATAAATTTCGCAGTAGAGCAATAATTGCTAAACTGTCTCAGTTTAGCAATTATTCGGGACCTTCACCTTCGGTTCCTGGACTCACAGGTGGGCTTGGCAGGATGTGTGTGCGTGCACGCCTGTGTCTACAAATTTTCTATCACTTGCACGTTTTGCTGGGGAGAAGTCCATGCCTTTTGTCAGTTTCTCTGAGAGGCCATAACACAGAAGAGCTGTGATTTACTGAGTATCTCTATGTGCCAAGCATGGAGCCAAGCACATACAATTAACCTTCACATGAAGCCTTTATCTCCATTTTACACACGAGGAAACAAAGTCACAGAGCCTCCCTCCTCTTCCAGACATCCTGCAAAACACAGATTCGTCACCACCTGGCTTCCCTTGCCTGCCAGGTAACAGCCCAAGGCCTTTCCAACTGTCTTCCGAGGCCAACCAGCCTCCCCACGTCTCTCCAAAGGCCTTGCACTCCAGATCAGATCCTTGCGGTTCCATGTTGAAGCGACTTCCACTGGAGTAGCGTTTCCAGCAGCACCGCTATCTGGGCTAACGCTAACTTTGGAATAAGTCTTTAATCTTTGACGATCTTCTCTGTTGTCCGCAAAGAGCTCCTTAAATATGGAGCATTACCTGATTTTCAGGGTGTTTGTTCCCCCAGAACGCCGAGAGACGCCTTGTTGGTACTGGTTGGTTTCTCTCCTGACACAGTTAACTCACTGCACTGGCAGACGTTTTAATAAATAAATATTTATTTATTTTTTGGAGGAAGACCAAGCTATTTGTGGCTAGTCTACTATTTAGACTCCAAGTCTCTGTGCTGTCTGCATACCGAGGTTAGCTCCCAATTGCGTTAAGTAGGGACTCATTTAAATGTGAGCTGTCACACGACAGCACTGTCAACGCCGGGAGGGAAAGAAAACCCCGGGGACCGGCTGGCAGGTAGGGTTGCGTGCGGCGGAGCCAGGTGCTTAGGCGCTGCAGGAAATTCCAGCCCCGCCGAGGTCATCTCAGCTTCACCAGGAGTTGCTAACACCCAACACCGCTGTGCCTCCCCTGACCAGGGATTTCTATAACCTACCAAAGGAGGGAACGAAGAATTGACTCCGAATAAAACAGTTTTCTTTTGCTAACTGGTCACGTGCTGGTCACCTGCTAAGAAGTAGGTGCGTAACACAGGGAGGGTTTACACAAGAAACGGCTCCTGAAAATACGGTCTCTGATCTCAAGTGGGAAGAACAAGACCCACGGCCCCCCCCCCGACTCTCCAGGGTCCCAGGCGAAGGGCGGGTCAGCGGCCCACCCCTTGGGCCCCGGGGACACCCGCCAGCCGCGCAGACCCACCGACAGGACCCCACGCGCACCGCCGTTAAGCGCCGGCGACGGGGCCTCGACTGCGCACGCGCGCTGCCCGCTGCGTCCCGGGCCACGCAGAACCTTCGGGAAGGCGGGGGCGGAGGGTGCGGCCGGGGCGGGGCGCATGCGCGGCGTCAGAGCCGGGCGGAAGTGTCGTAGCCGCGCCGCCGCCGCGTGACGCACTTCCTGTTTGTTGTTGGAGAAAGGAGAGAAAGGAAAGCGCGAGGACCGTTGCAGCGCAGCCGCCACCGTCAGCCGCGCCGCAGTGTCGGAGTCGAGGAGCCTCGGTCACCGCTCCGCCGCGCCTTACGCCGCCGGCTCCCGTGTCCTCGGTGAGGGCTGCCAGCGGCCGGGGGGGCGGGCCCGGCGGCCCACCTGACCCGGGCCCTGGCCGCGGCGGGCCGGGGGCCGGGCTTGGTGTGAGACCGGGGTTGGGGGCGCGGGGGCGCGGGGGGCAGGCCGGGGGCCGCGGGGGGCAGGCCGGGGTCCAGCTCGTTCCTCGCGGCCCCCTCCCCCGGGCCCCTCCCCCTGTCCTGGGGGGTCCTCTCCTCCCCGCGTCCTGGAGGCCGCGCGCCGGTTGTTGCGGGCGGGGGCGGCGCTGCCGCGTGGGAGGCTGGGTTTTCACTCGGTTTTAAGGCCCCACATAGACGGCCCTGAAGCCAGGAGGAGGTAAGTGTGCAGGAAGAGTAGAGGTTCGTGGGAGGCCGCGCTGCCTAGCGCGGAGACCGGGAAGCGGGCGGGGGACGCGAGGCCGCGTGTCGGGAACTCCCCGCTGGCTTCTCCGAAGTGTGTCGGAGATGGAAATGAAACGCCTGGCTTTCGGCTTACTTAAAAAGCCAGTTTGCTGGGTTTCGCTTCGGGGTGCACCGCAGTTTATATAGCTGAAGTTTCTGTCAACTTTTGCCCAAGTAAGGAAAGAACTGACGCAAGAAGTGGAAATTGGAAACTTGTGTTGTCTCGCGAAACGTTTTCAGAGCGTGTGGGTCGCTTGTCGGACGCGTACCTCTCCCGGCTACGCGGAAAGGCCACGGCGGTGGTGAAAAGATCTCACCACCACCCGGGGGGCTGCCTGGGAAGGGTGGACTGAGCGGCGCCCTTTGTATTCTCAGCGTTTTTAGTTCCGTTGTGGATTCGCAATAAGACTTTATGGCTAGAATCTTGTAAGGCAGGTAATTGACTTAGTGGAAGAGTTCGGCCGAATGACCGAAAAAGGAAAGAGAAACAAACTCTTAGCATTTGAACTTGTGTGACGCTCGTTCAGGTTTTACTCTTTTTCTTATGGTTAGGCACATAGGAATGTTTTCACGATATCTGAAAGGCATTTTGTACTTCTTTCCTCCGCCCTCTTCCTAGACCACACCCTCCCCGGATTCCATCTGGGAAGTTTAATCCAGACTGTTCCTGATTCCAGAGACCTTAGCTCCTGTGAGTTTAGGAGTTGAGTATTTGTACGGGCTGTAGTGGAAATATGAGTGCCCTTTGTGCATACTATCCAGGGAGCTGTGGAATTTTGGGGGTTATGCAGAGTCATGAGTTTGGGGAGTGAATTGGCTCGGTCTAGGTGTGGATGACTTGACAGGAAGTGGGAGGAGAACAAAAGGGGGATGAGAAGTTGGTTTTTGAGATTTACCTAAGCAGGCTTTGTGTGGTGCTGTGCAAGACTAGGAAGTTGGGAATTTAAGGGCTTTCAAAGACTTTGACATGTGTTCAGCATCCTCTTCAAAGTATCAGTGTTTTACATTTTTCATGACCTCTAAGTGGTAGATTTGGAAAGTATTTCTGGCTGCAGGACAGAGACTCACCTGGAGGGCTGGGGTGGCATGCAATCGCTTTCCTCTTCAAGCAAACCCATTATTTTTTTAGGTGTTAAAACCCAGGGTAGAACCATTTTCCCTGGTGTCAGCTCTGTTTTGGACAATTCCAAACAAATATAATTGTACTCCTCACCAGCAACGACAGTTTTCAGGCTAGCAAACTCAAATACCGAGTTTGGGATGGAATGGTCTGTGCATTTTGTAGTTTTAAAGTGGGCACGGTTATTTTCAGTCCGGCTTTTCAGCATCACAGTGTAATCCTGAGCGTGTCATCTTAGTGACGTTGGTGTTACCTCTTGCTTTCCACTGGGGTGCAGTCTGTATGACTGCGTGTTCAAGGTCAGCTGCTACCTTGGTTAGCGCTTAAAGGATGATTAGATGTCACTTCTGGTGTCTGTTGATAAGGATTGAATGAATGCAGTCAGCCTTTTGATATTTTAAAGAATTTTTAGAAAACTTTTTTTTTTTTTGGCCTTTTCACTTCGTTGGAAATGATCTAGAATTTAGGATGGTGTTCTGTGTTAAAATCTTTTTTGCTTAGAATTTGTCCAGGACACCACCCAGTGGCGAGAGCAGGTTAACTGCAGGCTTATTAGTGAATTAGGATGGGATCAGTGGCAAGATTTAAGAAGTGCTGTAGTTCCTCTTGGGTGAACAGAATTTGAGAGAACTTCAAACTTGAAAAAAGTGAGGTAAACGAAGAAAAGTGAAGTTGGTGAAGGTAAGAATAGTGTATAGAAAGACAGTTTTGAAGCCTCATTGGAGAAAATGGCTTCCTGGATATGTCAGCTAGAAAAAAATTTGAGGCTTTTATTGTAGATTATAATGTGTTTTTCAAACTTTTATATTTTTAGGGAGACATACAAAAAGCAGTTGATTCTTTCTGTTTCAGTATCCTGCTTAAGAAGGAAGTACATTTTGGAGAGTGTGCTTTAGAGTGTGAGCTCGCACCTGTCCATTCTTTGATCAGAGGATAAAACTTTTGTTTCTGAACTGAGTAAATCTTTTTAAAAAATACGTGATTTTTAAGGTGGGGGAAATTTCTGAAAAAAACAATAAAAGTAGTAGAAGGGTTGCAATGTACATCAAAGTAGAAAAGGTTCTAATTTATATTCCTCACCTTATTTCAGAAGTTATGTTATTTAGGCATAGTTTGGTTTTCTCTTAAAATTGTTGTCCTATATAAAATTTGTAAGGACTTAGGCCATTTTAAGTAAAAGGCACCAACCATTGCATATGGCCGTGAGGCAGCAGAACTACTGGCTGTATGTCCTAATACTCCAGGTATTTTAGGGTTCCTAAGCTCACTTGCAAGGATCAGTTGTCCCTGGGATGGTGATTTCCTCGTGCAGCATGTGATTCTATGCACTCTGAAATTTTCATTCTGCCTTTTACCAAGAAAGACATTTAGAGCTTGCCTTGTGCGTGTGATGGCGCACTGGGGCCTTCCTGTGAGGTCCTTTGGGCAGGCCTGGAATTTTAATTGTGTGTGTTTGTGACTGTGGCA